TATATCCTTTCATCCTGTCGGCTCTGTCCTCCCTCTTTACAATTCCTTATTTTGCTTCCAGCTAATAATGATGGGATATGGCTGACAGAGTAATTTCAATAATAGGTCACTATCTTGAGAAGCAAGCAATTAATTAGATCAAAATAAACTGAGGGTTGGAGTTTTGTTCTGTTTCTAATAAACTTCAACCCACATACGATACCAAAATCCTGGCTGTGTTTCATTATCACACTAAAATGATTTCAAGTTCAGTGAGAATATGGTGACACCTACTAAAGTCAAGAAAACGATGGAGCTTGTTGGTCAGGGCTCAGTGGTTCTGCACTTTCCTAGCACAGTGAGGACAGCATGATGATGATTAGTCCTTGTCTCTGGCCTTTGTGTAAACAGTGAAGCTTTATTTGTCAGTAACCTAGGTTCCGATATATTGGTATTTGCTTTTAAAAGATGAAAAGCTCAAGCATTGCCTTATCTGATTTCTAGTACGCTTCTGCTTGTTTGTAAGTTCATCTAGTAATTTGCAGTTGATTATTATTTCTCCCCATGTATGTATGTTCAAAAATGAAAACGACTGCAAGTAAAAAGGCTGTGTTTTGAACCAGCAAGGTCATTGAAGAAAATCTGTATCCTTAATCACTGTATACAAGAAGAGCAAACATGCATTCTCCTGGGCCAGACAAGCTAGAAAAGATCCAAACATATCATGTTGTAAGATCTCCAGTGACGTGGCCTTAGCCTGCTCTCTGATCCAGATAAAAGGATGTTCATGAATTTTGGAAGTCACAGTAAATAAGGAAGGTAATCGTGGTTAGGGTAAGGTTTTTCACATGCAAGGGTGGTTACAACTGGGGGTACCTAACAAAGAAGAGGTTGCCCAGAGAAGGGGCTAACAGGGTGGCAAATGGGGCTAGGAGGAAGAAAATATTTACCAGCAGGTGTTCAATTGCACATTTCTTTTATTTTTAGGGATTGGTTCAGTGTCTTTTTCTGATTAGTTGCTCTTTCTCTCATTTCCTCTCACTCTTATTCAGTTGATTTATTTAAAGGTATGTCAGCAGAGACTGAAATGAAGCACTGTACCTCCTCTTTCTGCTTATTGCTGACCGCTCCAATAATTCATTTTTTAGCTCATTAGCTAACGGGGGATGTGAACAGTGGTCCTCCAGGGTATTGGAATGAGGTTAAGTGATCTACTGCTGACAACTCTGCTCTTGGACTGGCCTTTCCTTTGGGAAAATGAAAGCTCAACCAAGACAAGCTGTGGATCCCAGCAATGAAACTGTGACATCAGAGAAACAATTGTAGTCATTATGTCCTAGTGGCATGATTTCTGGGGTGAACAGGTGCAGCAAGCCAAAATGTCTCCAAGAAAAATCCCCAGAACTTTCCACAGAAAATTAAATCATTCATACCAAATATGAAAAAAGATGTAGCACGAGGAACACAAGAGAGGATGTCAATGAAGCTTCCTGGATTTTTTTTTACTCATGACAAATCATTCCAAATTTTGAATGCTTTGCGAGCAGGTTACCCATCTCCCAGCTATCCATGAAGTGATTAAGGATCGTTTACTATACAAATGTCTAAATGAAGTATGTTTCTTGTGTCCCACTTAGAACACTGTTTGTGTTTTGAATCCCATTTGACATTGGGTATCAGAAATAGTCTGTGCCAGGGTGTCCTATACATTGCGTGTGTTGGTTCGTGCATGCGTGCGCGCATGCGCGCATGTTTGGATTTATTGGTCTTTCCATTACTTTCTGATAAAAATTGTGTGTGGAATTTTAGGAATACTTAATCAGGCAGGTCATTCATACATGATGGTATTAAAGCTTCAGACACTGATCAGGAACGTACTAAGAAAACATTGCATATCTATATATGTGTAACAGGTTGTAGATGGACACTGTCCAGTATACTCTCTCATAACTGCAGGGTCTGGAATTGTTTTTAAATATAAATTATTCTTTCATGTTAGAAACTATCACTGAAATTGCAGTATCTAAGGTTATACCTTCCACTGGAGGATGTCAGGGTTCCTTAAAAGCTAGTACTGCTGCTCATATTGAGCAGAACTGCACTCCACAAATACTCCCATGGGACTGTTCACTCATTGAAGCATGGCAGAATCTGACCTAATTAATTAAGCACCCATAGCACGTAGGTGTTGCACCTATTTTACACATGGGAAAATTGAGGTGCAATAAAACAGCAAGCTAATGGCATGGTGCAGTATCATGGTCTTCTGTAAAATGCAGACCACCCCCCCCCCCCAGGCAAGGACTCTAGAGTACTTCCTGAATATTTTGGGTGACAAATAACTCTTCAGCTCTGCAGCAAATGTTGTTGAGTTTATACCGAATCTTGATCACAGAACTGAGCGAGATAAACAGTAGTGTGTGCCAGCTGGTTATGCAGTAATATAAATCTTTTGACTAGAGGATGGGTAGTATCCTTCTTCTCTTGCCTTCTCTCGTGAGCCCATGGGACATATAGAAGTGATGGGCTGCTCTCCCTCTCAGAATTAATGGGCTCCGCATAAGTTTGCATTCTGCTTTCTGTCTGTGTGTTTTGTTTTCCCTTCTGAATAAACCTTTTGATGCATCAGGATAATGTGGGTAGGGCTTGGGCATTTTGTGACTCAGTCATGTTTCCCAAAGATAGCAGGATCCCCATCTTTACATCATTCTCACCCAGCAGCGCTGTTCACTTTACTGTGTGTAAGAAACATATATATAAATGATTTCTTGTTCCTCTTCTTTCAGAATGTATGTAAATTTATGTTAATGAATTTGTAAAACCAAGGTAGCCAAGTGATCTGATGGCTTTCACCTGAACTTGGAGCATTTGGTTTTGCTTCCATATAGTGCACATGCAGTCACATTTTATGACTTAGGCATAAATGATGCTCGCCCCCTCCACCCCCCAAGGATCTTGTTCTCATATCCAGCTTGTGAGTGGAATAGAAAGTTTTTCTTAAACTCTGAAAGCAACTCCTATTCATCCTGGTTACCACAGCTGGTGTCATGACTGTGATTAGAACTGCATGTAACCAATTTCAGGGAAGATGAGGGGAAGAATAGAATTGTTCTGTATTTGGTGATCTTCCAGTCCACATAACTAATATTTTAAAAGTGTATTGTTCGGCAGACAGGTAGAAGTAGTTTTTTTTAAATAATTGTTTCCTTCAGGAAGAATCCATGCACTTTTTTCCATAGTAGAACTGATTAGATCCATCAAATTCTTTTGTCCTGCCCAGTTTGTAAGTGTAAATTATGTGTTTATAAAATACTTTGTCATTATACTCAATTTCATTTTTAATAAATACAAAGCATACTTCAAATGAGCCTTACCAAAGCCTGCACCTTCTTACTTTGTTGACTTGATGATGTACTAGCTTGGGATAAGTGATAGCTATACAACAACCTCTGATTTTGGGAAAGCACTTAAAATATATAAATGGCCTCATGGAACCCATTTTAAGCATTTGTGGCTGTGCTGTTCTATCCCTCTCAGACCACTCTTTCTTTGCATGTTTGATTTTTTGTTTAGTTATTTTTTAACACAGCAGCACAAGTTAAAACTTGTAACATTAATCCTTCCTGTGAATGTCCTCATTCTTGTTGCTTTGTCTCACAACTTAAACATTATTTACAAGCATTTTCCCTTCATTCTGAGCATTTTAAAATATCCTGTATTTCAAGTATCAGACTCAAAGGCAATGTTTCAGCATTCAGAACAGTGTCAGTATTCAGATGTAGTAGCCATTCAGAGCTTTGAGCTTGCCCATTTTTCTCATACACTGAAAACTCGTACTTTTCTTTAGACAGGAAAAATTACTGCATATGGATAGGGTAAATTGTTATTCGTGTTGCAAAACTCGTGCTTTTGGAGGCTTTGAATGAAAAGTATCTAGAGAGGTCAAAGTAAGGTCACTCCACATGTACCAGGAAGTGGTGCAAAACTAATCCAGATTTGCTGTTGGAAGTATCTGTTTACATAAGTATTTAAAAACAGATTAGGGCTAACCTGACACTAGTTTACTAGGAGTAGTATAAACACTACTGAAAGGCATAAACAGAGCTTTTCTTTTTTCTGCTAGAGGAAAAAATGTCAACAGTAATGAGTTTCCTTGCTAGATATTGTATGCGGTGTCCACAGGTAGGCAGATTTCCATTTAGATACCTGACCTGTTGGCCAAGAGCACCTACAAATGGGAATTTACCTGTGACAGGATCTCCCAGAGCACATTACTGAGTTCCGGGGGGGGTATAAATGAAAGACTCAACCAATAGCAGAGTAACCTGCTGTCCTATGATATAACAGTATTTTAGGACACTTTTTCCACTTACTTGTCCCAGCAAAAGAAGCCACGCTTCAAATTTTTTGTTTTCCATTTAAAAAAATTCCTAAACTTCTTTCCCTTAGTGAAACTTAACTGTCCTGTCACTGTTCACTGATAATGTTCTGGTGAGAGAGAGAGAGACACCATGAGTGACTTCAATGCTATCACTGTGCACGTCTAAGTATAATTCAGGAAACACCGATATATATTCTCCCTGATCTGGATCCTTTTGACTGCTTTAGTCCTGGGCACCTCCTGAGTAAAGATTGCAAGTTGTATGGTTAAGTAATATGGAAAAATCTGCCATGATTTATGACCTAATGCACTCTTGAAGTAAAAGGCTATTACATATACTCAGTATGTAACTTAGATCTCTAGTTGTGGAGAAATGTGAATGTACACGGCCCAGAACAGTTGGATGTTTGCCCATGACTGGGACTCCTAGGCACAGTGACAGTACAAATAAATAATAGTGTTGCAAGTTTCAGGTTTAAAGGAAATGTTTCTGTGTCAGGTCTTTTGCTAAAATTTGCAAGACAAATAATTTCTGCCAACCAGCTTCCATATGTCACTGTGTCTTGAAATGACCATGTATGCTATTACTCAAAGACAGTGGTACCAGTTTTGAAGGTTGTATTTCCTTTTCCTTCTCTAGGGAAGAAAAAGAACGCTGGATACGTGCTAAATATGAGCAGAAGCTCTTCCTTGCCCCGCTGCAGTGCTTGGAGCTTTCCCTAGGCCAGCACCTGCTGCGAGCTACAGCTGAGGAAGACCTGCGGACCGTCATCCTGCTCCTGGCCCATGGCACGCGGGAAGAAGTAAACGAGACGTGTGGAGATGGAGATGGGCGTACTGCCCTGCACTTGGCCTGCAGGAAAGGAAACGTTGTGCTCGTACAGCTCTTAATTTGGGTGAGTATCTCCCTTGTGATGTTCGGTACGCAGTTCTGATTTACTTCTTACTTGTTCCTATTGTTTAGCAAAACTTTTTTTTTTAGTAAGGTCTTCTGAAGTATTGCTTGCCAGCATATTTCAGAAGGCTGCTAAAGTTGTTCTTTATTTTCCTTAGTCTACATGTTCCTGTTATAAGCTTTCAGAGCTGCCTTGACAAAAATATGTCTCTCTTTTTACTTCAGTGTGATAGAAGCTAGGTGACGTGCAGGAGACAGGGAAGGATAAGTGCTCTAGCTCTAGAATAGCCATACAAAATGCATTTGTAAAGAGATTGTTACAGGCAGTATGTGAAGATGTTCTAGAAGAAAGCTGTTTGTGCTTGAAGCATGATTTCTCTGCCCAGATCTTCTATAAACCCACAAAATAAGGTCTGTGTCATGCATTCTGTCTTGTGTATTTTTCTCTTCCTCCCCTCTTTCCCCCCTCCCCCTGACCTCCACTTAAACTCAGATATAGCTCTTCCATTTTCATTCTCTCCATGCTAATACTGTGTTAGCAGCTGGGTCTCAAGTGGCATCTCTTCTTTCTGCAGTATGGTGTGGATGTTATGGCCCGTGATGCCCATGGAAACACAGCATTAGCCTACGCCAGACAAGCCACAAGCCAGGAATGCATTGATGTTCTCCTGCAGTATGGTTGTCCTGATGAGCGTTTTGTCCTTATGGCTACACCCAATTTGTCCAGGAAGAACAATAACAGGAACAACAGCAGTGGAAGAATGCCCACCATCATCTGAGGAACTTGGGTAGTTTTCAGTGACCTAAATAGTGTCTGCAGCCTCATAGCTCCATTTCTTTCACAGCTCTGACTTGTGTCAGAGTCTTATAACTTTCCTTTCCCTTTTTCCCCTCTATCCCTGTCCCATCAAAAACAAACAAGCAAACAAAAAGCATATGTGGACAGTGCGAAGGGACAAGAAGGAGAAAAAGGGGGCTGCAGAAACCGTTAGTTAAAAAAAAAATGTCTAGAATGATGAAAAGGGGGGTGAGAGAGAGTTTGGTTATGGGTTCTCTAATCATAGCACATGATATTGGACCATTTTACTGGCTGTCTCCAGGCATAGGCTGTACGAGTGTTGAAGGAGGGGATAGAGGCAGAAGAAAGGAGGAAGAAGAAAAGAAAGAAAAAATGGTAACTTTTCTTAAATGACAGTTAAGCACATCGGTACATTTCACCTCTACCAAACGGAACACTTGGATTTCATTCTCTTCTCTGAAGAGCTTGACGGCATAAATCAGAAGCAAGCACAGAGTTTGTCAGGTTTGAAGCTCCTATGATGGTATGTGTCAAATCAGTTGTAGCTAATCTGTCCAGGGAGAATACTGGCTTCATTACACTTGTATAGTTGAGTTCTTCCAGCATTACCGCTGTTTAATAGAACATGATTAGTCATCACGGAGAAAAAAGCATATTAGCTGAGGAGGTAGTTACATGGCACGCTTCGGTGATTGCTTGGATGTGATTGCAATATTCTTAGAAGCATCATATTATCTCAGACATGTTCTTTCAAGCCCTTGGAGCCCTCCTTTCTAAATTCACTGTCATAATTTAGTATCTGTTTAATTTTTCAGTCCAAAGAGAGGAAATCAGTTGCTGAGTGTTATTTGACTGCAGTCTCCTTAGTGTAAAAACAAAATGGAAAAAATAAATAAGGGTAACTATGAAACACAAAAAGGAATAATGAATACTGCTAAGGAAAAACATTTCAAGTACATTTAGTAAAATAAATACATGCATAAAAGGCTAATATTTTTTCAGCCACGAGAGAGATGTCATTTTGCCACGGTAAATGTCTTGCGTTTTTGGTCACTCCTGTGATGCATTGCCTAAGTTATACAGATTTTTGTATTGTGTCGTTAGATTATATGTATGTAAAATCTATTTGAATAAAAAAATTCATAAATATGCATTGATTTTTGTACAGACAAATGACACCTCTGTTAATTTATAAACTGTAATGGATGTGTACTAAATAATGTGCAACTAGCTAGGATCTGTGGGTTACAGATCATTGTACACTGAAAATATTTCCAGCAGTGAACTATATTTCCATTTGTTTGATGCAAGTCTTTTGAAGAACATATCGGAATGAGATGATGGCATATTTGGCATACAAAAAAGGCATACTGAGATCTTTTAGAAGGGAAAGGAGGATGTCTGTCAGCAACATAAACATATTTTACTTTAGACACCATGAAGCTTTCATAGATCGAGACAAAAAGCCATAGCCTGCGTCCATGAAGATCAGACGTGTCTCATATCAGAATTGATGTCATTCTCCAGGCTGGGCATGGCATGGCTCTTTTGACTCTGAACTTGGCTGCTTTGTTTCACATAAATGACTTACAGAAGGAGTTTGGCCAGTTGATTCAGACTCTCATTTTTAATACTTGATTTATTTCTGTGGTATCACCAGACTGATGCTGGCTTTTGCCACCTTCTGAAAACTGAGATTTTGGTATAGATAAGCAAATAGCAAGGTTTCTGGGGAAAGCAAGTGATTTTTATATGGCATATGGCAATATGAGGATGGGGGAAGCTATATTGCGGAGAACGTTGAAATCTGAGCTGAATTAGATGGCAAAGGAACAATTATGTGAAGTCAGTCAGGTGCACATAGCATAGTAATTTGCAAATCTCCCCATTCTTCATGTATTTCACAGGCCTTCAGTGTTGTGCTTCCTTGGGGACTCTGTGTTTATGTTGACATAAGAAAGGAAGGAGAAAATAAACAACCGAATGAAATATATGTGGACAGAATTTGAAAGAAAAATGTTAATGTCCCAAAGGTATCCAAAACCTAAAAAAGGGCAGTATGGCTTAAGAACCAGAGTCCACAAAAGATTGATTAAGAGATGCCCTAAGAGAAAAAGCAAGGGAACACTGATTGCCTTTTCTGCTCCTTTACCATTCTGTGTTTGTTGTTGTTTGCTATATGGAAATTGAACAGTGAATAGAAAAGGCTTTCCTGTTTTACCAGCCTAGACCAGCAATATCATGTGTGCATTTCAAAACCAAATGCTTTTTGAGTAGTTTCCACAATTGTTCCTCCTCCACTTACATGCACCCTCCTGTCCTTAGATATTGACAGATGTGTTATTTCTGGTGGATGACTTAACTTTAACATGTACAGCTAAACATGGGACTGCTCACTCAGTCCCCTGCTACCGGGTTCTTGTGACCTTATCACCTGTTGCAAGGGACACAGTAACCTGAACTCACATCTCTTGGCATGTAAGTAAGGTAGGAATCAGGAATATGTTTTCCTGTGGTGCTAAATACCTCCAGCTCGCTTTGATTTGAGCTGTAGCTGCAGGTGCACAATACTTCTGAAAATTCAGATCCACTTTTTAAAATACTTTGCTTTAAATCTATTGCTGTTGTTAAGCCTACATTCCATTTCAAAGCTGGTATGTTTTCCAAACTGAAAATACTTTTCTATTTCCCTTTTAATGATCTCTTTTTACTACTCTTCCTGGCATGAAACACCCAAGGCCATTGACATACTAGGGCAACTGAGCTGTCTTAAAAGTTTTCTGACTTGGTGGCAAACCATGAAGTCCATCATGAACTTCCAGGGCAAAAGTTTTCTCTTTGAATAAAGCTGTCCAGAAAATACTAGAAAAGGAAATTTCACTCTAGAATAGGAAGAATGAGTTATCCACACAAGCTGAATGTTAACTCCTTACTTTAGGTAAAGCAGTTGTGTTTAGTCTAAGCTTGGGATTTCCTTAAACATCAGAGTTGTCAATTCCAATATGGACCAGGGCTTTTGTATGCATCTTACCTGTCTCTGATTGCATAGCCCAAATGCGAAGGGTTGCTGCAGGGAAAATATACAAGCTATCCACTTCCCAGCATTCTCCTTGAAAAATTCAGAGGGCCAGCAGTACTATATCTGAAGTCCATGTAATACACGCTAGATTGTGTTAGGGGTTGGCATTGTTTTGATTGATCTGTTACTAGGTTTTGGCAAGCCTTCATTCTTTGTGTTAGTCTTGCCTATAGCCAATTCCCCCTTTCCCTCCCCCTCACTGAAGCTGATCAGCACAAAAGGTATTTAAAAGATAATTAGGCTTAAACTGGCTGTAAGTGAGCAGTTTCAGGTATATTTTTCTCATAGGAAAATTGTATCCGCATTTGTGTGTTCAAGTATATTTGGTCAGAATTGCTTTGAAAGTTATATAGCACTGCTTGAGCTTACAGGACTTTAGAACGGGTCATATAATCATAAATATGGTGATGAACTCAGGCTAGTATAAATTTTGTCCCCTGCTTGTTGCTAGCCCTGTATCTTGCACAGTGTAATCAATGTGAACTGTATTTAAAAACCAAACAAGCAAACAAATCTTCCCACCTGATATCCCAGTCTGTCCCCTGAATTTAAAACCAGGAAAAGTTTGATGTTTTCATTTGTATGAAAAATCCCATTCCACCTCCTGCATACTAGAGTTGGACTAGGGTATAAGGTGTCTAATGTTGATGCTTAATCAATATTAGCAATCCTTTGGTTATGGTTAATAGATAAGGGACAGGAGAAAAATCTCTTAGATATCCAGTTGGACTAGCCTAACCTTGCTTGGCACTGGAAGCTGGGATTTCTTGACGCCAGGTGCTTACAAGGGATATATTAGCACTTTGTAGAGGGTGTTCTTGACCTGTCCAGATATCGAGGATTCAGGGACACTTCCAGAAACTATAGTAATTGTTTACAGTGATTCCATTCTTTTAACCTGTCCACGTCTGTTCCTTGCTCTTGCATTTAGCCCCTCTTGTGGCTTCTGTAGAACCCAGAATGGTTACGCCCTTTGAGCATGTTATGAGCAAATTAAAAACGAATTGAAAGCCAGTCAATAAGAAATCCCAGTAGAAAAATGCTAGAGAGCTAAATCTGTTTCTGTTTTCTCAGAAAATGGAGTTTAGTAGTTGATTTTGATAACATCCCCCATTTAACCACTTTCATGATTTCATTGTACTCTTTCCAGTCTCATCTGCACTTTACACACAGATACTAAGACCTTATAGCAAAGCCGCCTTTGGCAAATGTCATTGACTTTTTTCTTCTATATGTTGTAACCTACTTGCTGTAGAACACTAGGGATGAGGCTGATGTGTAAATTTACATCTGGGATCTGAACCTTGGTATTCCCAGAGCTTTGAGAGCCTTTAGTTCACCTCATTTTAGATAAGTAGACTGAGCCCAGTGTTTTGGGAAGTTCAGAACCAATCCTGATCCAGTGGTTTAGTCAAGGACCCACTCTGGTGATTTTAGACTTCACTTTGTGTATCTACATAGGAGCAGTAGATGAGGCATATCTTGAAAATCCAGCTGTGATCCATATCTTGGTGCTGTTCAGAAAGCTGTTTGAACTAGGAAAAGCATAGAGTGAATTGTTTAGGGTGTAGTGTGCAATTGCTGCATTAAGATGCATACTGTTTATTTTGCCACGATTCCCCCCACTTTAAATTAGGCTGTGTAGTGAGCGCTTGTTTGGAGATTTGCCCATGGGAGGGAGACTTTGAGTAAAGTGGGAAGATTACAGAGATTGTATGTAATATTAAGTATTCTCATACAAATATGTATCTCCAGCACTATAATGTGGCATAATAAATGGTACAGTTTGTGGATAGCTTCATCTCTTATATAAGGTGAAGAGGAAAAATGAAGTAATGTTGGGGAGGGGGAAGTGTAATATAAAGCAGTAATAGTAAAACAAGCACAGATTTCACAGAAGAGCTCTAAGTGAATGGAGTCCTTCACAGTTGTCTTGAGGAGCCATTTTTTCACCTTAGGAGGGAACAAATGCTCATTTTAGCTTAAGAATGCAAACACAAGGGACCAAATGCTTGGGAGCTTGTCACTTTTCTGGGAGAAGGTTAATTTCCCTGTTCAAGTTTATAATAAAGCACCTTTATTTTCCCACATTGGGCTATTACTGTCATTAGTGTGTGGGATCTCTGACCTTTTACTTCATTAGTCTTGGACCCCTGATTTATTTTAATATCTCTTTTTTTCTGTCTTTGTAGATATAAATAAGTTTATAATTTAGAAAGGTGTTCTTTAGCATTTCATCTGCATTCTCCATTGTAAAGGCACTCCAGGTTCAAATTATTTGTGATAAAAGAAGTAAAATAACACTAATAAACCTTGGATTGGAGTGTTGTAGCTGTGATGGTCCAGAAAATACCTGAGAGCCAAGGCTTTTTTGTAATATCTTTTATTGGACCAACTGTGCTGATGGGGGAGCTATTGAACGAGCTTTTTGGTCATCAAGTGCCCTTCCTTGATGGGTGAAAGCCTGTCCCAACAGTTCTCACAACTGGACCATTGGTTCAGTAAAAGATATCACAAAAAAGCCTTGCCTCTCAGACTAATAAATCTAAAGTTGAAGCTGATTTTTTTTTTTTAAGATGGGGATTTACTTCTTGCCTATTAAACTACAGGAAGATGATCGGTAAAATAATTTCTTTGTGAAGGGATCTCTAAACTGCAAAAGACACCATGAGCAAAACAAATGTTTAAAACTGTAATTAGGTAACTTTACTGTAGGCCCATGTTTTGACTGAGTTGTGTTATCCTGAGCAAGGTTTTAAAATGAAAAAAACTGTGGTTCTCCCATCTCTCAGAAATTTCTCCTTATTTGATTGAGTCCATATTTGAGCAAATATAGAAAGGCATTGGCCAAGATTTTCAGAAGAAGAGAGTCATTTTGGGTGCCTTAATTTCAGAAAGCTGGTTGCTCAGCACTTTCTGAAAATTGAGTCCTCTGACAGTGTCTCAAGCCCAAAATCACTAGTCACTTTTTTGAAAATCTTGGTTTCTGTGTTTTATTTCAGGTGATGGCAATATGTGGGTGAATTAGTTCCCCATTGTTTACTAACGTCTCCTGAGTAGTTTAGGAATTTG